AACACGGTGCGGCAGCTCCTGGACTCCGAGAAGGGGTCCTTCATCATCAACGAGAGTGATGGGGCCGGGATGACGCCGCTGCACATATCCTCGCAGCAGGGACACACACGGGTGGTGCAGTTGCTTTTGAATCGCGGAGCCCTGCTCCATCGCGATCACACCGGACGCAATCCCCTCCAGCTGGCGGCCATGTCGGGATACACCGAGACCATCGAGCTGCTGCACTCGGTGCACTCGCATCTGCTCGATCAGGTGGACAAGGATGGGGTGAGAAAGAAAGGTCTTAAGAAATTAAGTTACGAAGTAATATCTAATAAATCCCCCTAGAACACCGCTCTCCATCTGGCCACCATGGAGAACAAGCCGCATGCCATCTCCGTTCTGATGTCCATGGGCTGCAAACTGGTCTACAATGTGTTGGATATGAGCGCCATTGACTATGCCATCTACTACAAATATCCGGAGGCTGCTTTGGCCATGGTCACCCACGAGGAGCGGGCCAACGAGGTGATGGCCCTGCGCTCGGACAAGCATCCCTGCGTGACCCTCGCTTTGATTGCCTCCATGCCCAAGGTGTTCGAGGCAGTGCAGGACAAGTGCATCACCAAGGCAAACTGCAAGAAGGACTCGAAGAGCTTCTACGTAAGTGGGTAGACTAGATCATAGGGGCGGTCTAGATCATCTAGATCCTCATCTCATTCCATACGAAGCTAATCGCTAATCGATTTCTATCCGCCCCATCGATGTCATCGTTACTAGATCAAGTACTCCTTCGCGTTCTTGCAATACCCCTTTATGTTCGCCAAGAGTGACGAGAAACCCGGAGAGTCGATAGCAACCGCAAGTCCCATTCCGTTGCCGGCTTTGAATGTAAGCGGAAACTGGAGACTGAATCCCAGATCTGTTGCATGCTTCAGTGTTGTATCCTACCTTTTCCCTTCAACGATATGTGAGCGAATCTTGGGATTAGAATAGGAAAGGGACCACAGTTCATTCTAATGTTTAACTGTTTAATATCTATAAACATTACCTTATACGATACATCAGCGAATCTTGGTAAAGGGTTTTCTACGGGTTAAAGTAGGAGGGAGGTACCCATTAAAAAAACCCATTATAAAAAATCTATAAACAATATTCGGTTATCATCTCTTAAGGATACATTAGCGAATCTTGGTAAAAGGTAGTAGTAGTAATGGGTTACGGATAGATAGACCACATCAAAAATCTATAAACAATATTTGGTTATCATCCCTAAACGATACATCAGCGAATCTTGGTAAGGGTTTTAATAGAACCTACAAATATGTATAGGCCACATCATGATCCATTTTTCCTAATCCTAATGGCTAACAGCAAACATCTATAAACACTAATTGGTTACCATCCAGATAAAATATTCGTTTTGGCCCTACCAAAAGACACCCGAACAGATCGAGGCCAAGCGCAAAGAGTTCAATGACCCCAGTTGGCGACCCGCGCCCTTGGCCGTGGTGAACGTGAGTGTCCCCGAACTCTCTTAAAGATCACTGAGCTCTGCAATTGTGTGTTCCGTCCCTTAAGTACTAACCCACTAACCGACTCACAGTATCTGGCTTTTGTACCCTGAATGTCGTGTGCGTGTTATATGTATTTAATCACTATCAGATTACTAAGATAATCTCTATAATCCCGGCTAGACCATGGTCACTCATGGCCGAGTGGAGCTGCTGGCCCATCCGCTGAGCCAGAAGTATCTGCAGATGAAGTGGAACTCGTACGGCAAGTACTTTCACCTGGCCAACCTGCTGATCTACTCGATCTTTCTGGTCTTTGTAACCATCTACTCTTCGCTGATGATGAACAACATTGAGCTGAAGGCTGGCAACAACAGGACGATGAGTCAGTACTGCAACATGGGGTGGGTGGTTCGGCTTTTAATATATCAAAATAAAATAATAATCCAGATCCCTCTTTCAGATGGGAGCAGCTGACCATGAATCTGTCGCAGAATCCTGCGGTGGCATCGCAGATTCGCCTGGACTCCTGCGAGGAGCGCATTAATCGAACCACAGCCATTCTTTTCTGTGCCGGGGTCATCGTGGTCTACATAGTGCTCAACTCGATGCGGGAACTGATACAGATTTACCAGCAAAAGTTGCACTATATCCTGGAGACCGTGAACCTGATATCCTGGGTGCTGTACATCTCGGCTTTGATCATGGTTACGCCGGCCTTTCAACCAGATGGAGGCATAAATACCATACATTATTCGGCCGCCTCGATTGCAGTGTTTCTTTCCTGGTTCCGGTTGCTCCTCTTCTTGCAGAGATTCGATCAAGTGGGCATCTATGTGGTCATGTTCCTGGAGATCCTGCAGACACTGATCAAGGTGCTGATGGTGTTCTCCATACTGATCATTGCCTTTGGGCTGGCTTTCTACATACTACTTTCAAAGGTGGTAGATCATTATAGTCGTAGAGGTTTCATTTACTTATAGATAGTATTTCCCACTAGATTATCGACCCCCAGCCGAACCACTTGTCCTTCTCCAACATCCCCATGTCCTTGCTGCGAACCTTCTCGATGATGCTGGGCGAGCTGGACTTTGTGGGCACCTATGTGAACACCTACTATCGCGATCAGTTGAAGGTGCCCATGACCTCCTTCTTGATTCTGAGTAAGTACATAAAAAAACATATTCCCGTAAATTCGATATGGCCATGTAAATTTCAGGTCATGCAAAACCCATATCGCTTTTACATGAAGTATTCTTTTCGACCTGGTAAAATTTACCTGGCCCTATATCAAATTAAAATTGATCTTAAATAATGTAAAATCCATCTACACCCAGAAAACAAAATGGACTAAAAAGGGGCCTAATTACCTAAAATTTTAGGAAATATGGCCAGAAAAACGCGCCAAGGCCATGCATTACCTAAAATGTTGTCCATGTGGACTATATTTTGTACGCAGTCTTGAATTTATTTCTGGTAATGGTTACCTAAAAAAATGGCTAGTGGACTAGATTTTTAGGTCAGAATTACCTAAATATTAGGTATTTAAAAAAAAGCTAGGATTTTTACTATTGATAGTAACATATTTGATTATTTTAATTGCTTATATTGTATTATTCGGAAAAGCAAATATTTTATCTTTCTGAAAAAACAATCACTTTATTTTGTCCTCGGTGGGAATCGATCCCGGGTCTTCTGCGCGAGAGTCCAATAGGCTAGCCTCTGGTCTACGGAACTACTTAAAGGCCCTGCGGCAAAACCAAAGCCTGCTTCAAGGGGCTCAGGCGAATTCTATTTTTAGAATAGGGCACTATTACCTTAAAAGTAGGAAAATAGTCCACGTAGGTATTGATTTTATATATTGAAACTTTTCCATCACTAGCTTTAAGAAAAGTCTAAAAAATTTTTTAACATTAAACTTAAAAAACCGAATAATTTGTTTATTAATATTAGGGACCAATATTTGTATTAAGTTGTGAGTGATAATCGACTTTAAATTATTCCTAAATTTTAGGTCTTATGGACCAATTTGAAGGTTACGATGGCCTATAAAAATCTCTTTAGCTTTACCTAAAAAGTAGGAACATAGTCCACATGCTAATATTTTTAGGTAACCCATTACCTAAATCTGAAATTTTAGTCTATTTAAATTTTTTAGGTCATACGTTACCTAAAAAATAGTCCCACATTTCTCTGGGTGTACGTTTTATATCGATTTTTTTGGGTGTTTTTATAAGTCCTCAACTGTTCATAGAATAATAAAATATTTATTTCACAGGCGTCTTCATGATCCTCCTGCCCATTCTCCATTTCCATATCAATCTTGATCTTAACTAATGTAATTTTGATCTACGTTTCATATCGATTTTTTTTTTGGCTGTACTTATAAGTCCCCAACTATTCATAATATAATATTTACTTCACAGGCGTCTTCATGATCCTCATGCCCATTCTCCTGATGAACCTGCTCATCGGTTTGGCCGTCGGCGATATTGAGTCAGTGCGTCGCAATGCCCAGCTCAAGCGGCTGGCCATGCAGGTGGTGCTCCACACCGAGCTGGAGAGGAAGCTGCCCCACGTCTGGCTGCAGCGAGTGGACAAGATGGAGCTCATCGAGTATCCCAATGAGACCAAGTGCAAGCTCGGCCTATGCGACTTTATCCTGCGCAAGTGGTTCTCCAATCCGTTCACCGAAGATTGTAAGTTGGCCTGGAAAAAATGTGGCACTACTACTACTTCCTACTACTCCCATGCAGCCTCCATGGACGCCATATCCTTTGACAACAACGACGACTACATCAATGCGGAGTTGGAGCGGCAGAGGCGAAAGTTGCGCGACATCAGTCGCATGTTAGAGCAGCAGCACCAGCTGGTGCGGCTCATTGTCCAGAAGATGGAGATCAAGACGGAGGCGGACGACGTGGACGAGGGCATATCGCCCAACGAACTTCGATCCATTTCGGGCCTGCGATCGGCGGGTGGGAATCGATGGAACTCCCCGCGGATCCGGAATAAACTAAGGGCCGCCTTGAGTTTCAACAAGAGCATGTAGATCAATTTCGGCTTTATAACTACATATATCTCTGTGTATTGTCCCCAGTAGAAAAATTGCACCCTACTTAAATTTATCTCTTTTGTGTGTGTAAAACGTGGATCGTGTGTGTGCATTTGGATATCGTATTGTGTGAGGTCCTGAAAGGAATTTTACAACGAATTTATAGGCAAGGATCATGGGCTGTTTTAACACATCTACTATAGTTTAAATGCAATTTGCAAAGTGTATGCATTGTTATTTGGATGTCTTTTAAAAAGTATATAAAATAAATCAATATTATTCAGACAAAATTATTAGTTTCGGAACAAAGGATAAAGAATCCTCGAGTCAAATACAAAATGCTTATTTATTTATGACAATAATAAATGGTAAAGTGACAATGTATGAGAATTATGTTAACGATTGGCGATAAAGAGACAAAAACTTATGCACTAATTACGCATTAATACGATGAAAGAGGCGATCTACATGAAGGTGATCTTCGTGCGTCCCATGTTGACCTGCCACACATTGAGCTCCTCGTAGTCGTCGATGCATTTGTCCACCTGGTCGGGTTTAAAGCCCTTGGTGGTGCAGCGGTCCATGATGTCGCCGATCTTGACGGCCTTTCCAGAGCCTGCGAGTTCGCGGACAATGGCGAAAATGCGATCCGATGTGTTGGGAACACTAAAAAGGAATATTATTAGAATAAGAAGTCACAAAAAAGCTTTAACAAAACTCACTGTCCCTTCTGGTGCTCGTGGATCTGGTTCAGCGAATCCTTGGACATTTCCAGCAGACGCAGTGCCTCCGCAACATCATCCTTCTCCACGCTGTCGGAGAGACGCAACCTAGCCAAAGCGGTGGACAGGCGCAGGATACCGAGTAGATTACGGGCCGAGGTGAAGGTCATGTCCTTCTGGTTGCGCGCCTCCCGACGCAGCTCCACATAGGCGCCCACAATGTAGTCGGTTAGCTCGTCCGGAATGGTTGGATTCTTGCGCTTGCACAGGTTGATGTAGCGCCGCATGAGATTCATGTCCAGAGCCTTGACCCGCGTCGGCGGCTGTTTGCTGTGGCTGTGCACGTACGTGATGTGCTTGGCCAGCCGCAAATCGTTGTCCCGATCCGGTCGGTCCTGGATGAGCCACAGCAGATCGAAACGCGAGAGCAAAGCAGCGGGCAGCTGGATGTTCTGCTCGACGGTGCGACGGGGATTGTAGCGTCCGAAGGCGGGATTGGCGGCGGCCAGAATGGAAACGCGTGCATTCAGGGTGGTCATGATGCCCGCCTTGGCTATCGAGATGGTCTGCTGCTCCATCACCTCGTGTATGGCCGTTCGATCCTGATCGGCCATCTTATCGAACTCGTCAATGCAGCAAACTCCTTGATCTGCGAGAACAAGAGCTCCTCCTTCTAAAGTCATCTCGCCCGTAAGCGGATCTTTCATCACCGCAGCCGTAAGACCCACGCCCGAGGATCCGCGACCCGTTGTGTACTGCGATCGCACGGCCAACCGGCTGATGTAGCCCAGCAGCTGCGACTTGGCCACACCGGGATCGCCCATCAGACAGATGTTGATGTTGCCACGAATCTTCATGCCATCGGGGCGTTTGTCTACGCCTCCGACGAGGAGCAGCAGCAGCGCCTTCTTCACGTCCAAATGGCCGTAGATTTCGGGGGCCAGGCTGGTGGCCAGGCGCTCGTAGAAGTCATCCTGGGCCAGCTCCTCCAGCTCATCGGGCGTCAGCTCGGCGTCCTTGTCCGAGATCTCGTCGTTCTTGTTGATGCAAATGATGCGCTGGGGGGATAACGAAATATTTAAAGGATGAACAATGAATTTCAGGATAAGAAAACCTACGTGAGCTTGGAGGAATGTCTCCGAGAGCAGACCCTGAATCATCTGGGCGAAACCCGTGCGCATCAGTGGCAGAAACACACCGGATACCACGATATGATCGCCTGGCTGGGCCATTCGAGTGACTTCACCCCTGCACATGATGGTCATGCTGCGTGGGATGTGGCCCACGGGCACCTGGTCGCTGTGCTCCTGCATCTTGACCTCCTGGAACTTGACGAACTTGGAGCCACGCGTCTGTAGGTAAAGCCTGCCGCCCGCCTTGTTCACCCGGCAATCGTCCGAGGGACAATCGTGGACGGGCGTAAAGGAGAGCGAGTTGACGGGCTGATAGGTCTCGGAGCCACAGCGATCGCAGGTGTAGGTGGCCACCACCATCATGGGCTTGACCTCGGTGCAGCGGGTGACGATGCCGCGAACGGTGACCAGTTTGCCAATGTGCTGGGCCTTCACCTCGCGAATGGAGTGCGCTTTCTCCGTGGACAGGGGTTTGAAGCCCACTTCGCTGAGGGTATAAATAGATTGGTTGAAATTGAGAGGGAATACCTGGATTGGCCAACTTACAATCGCTTCATTAGCTCCGCGGGGAAGCTGTTCCGCTCGTCGCGCTGCTCCATGGGATTCCTCGTGCGCGTCTCCATCATCAGGCGGTGCTCAATGTACACATCCAGGGCATCCTTGGCGTGCACCTCCTGCTGCTTGTAGCTGGGCAGCAGTTCGGCAATCACATCGCTGAAAATCGAGGCATAACGCCGGCAATTGTCGATCACCGCCTCCGCGAGACTCTCGTTGAATTCCGCCAGGTCGTCCAGGTCGATGGTGATCAGTACCTGCTCCCGATGGGCCAGTTTAACCAACTGAGAGCCGTAGACGAACTCCTTCTTGCCATCGTCGTCGCACTTGCAGAATTCCGACAGGAAGGTCTTGATGGATTCTGTAAATTAGCAAAAATTAAACGATTGATTTTAGTGCCTCCAAAAGTAAGGAAGCTGTTTTTTCTCACCTCGATCCTGGGCATAGTCACGTCGAGCCATTTTGCGCTTGCTTCTTTTGTGTTTGCAACAATGAACAATAAACCGAGGACAGCTGCTGGGGAAAGTTGTTTTCAGAGACGCTGATTGCCGGGAAATGCGGGGAAAATAATGAAAATGCTTCCCGCCAAAAATGTGTTTGTTCAAAACAGTGTAACCGTACCGATAAACAGTAAAAATACCATGCGGCCATTGTTATTTATAATATGGTTCGTGTCCTAGGAACTCACCTCAACGCCTGGTGAATTTATCAGCGTTGCCACCCCCTCTACACCAAAAGACCGCGCTAATTTTGAATTTCAAATATTGACGTTTATTCAGGTTTTAAATGAAATTTACAAAAGTTTTCGTTCTCTGCCGTTGCACTCAATCAATCATAGCACTCTATGGCGCCTCGCTCTCAATAAACTTGCGTTGGACTCGCGTTTCTTGTTACATAATTATTTATTGGTTTTTAGGCATCTAAAAGTAGTACATTTATTTTTAGTGCAATTCTCGATTCGCATTGGTTATCTCCGAATAGATTTACAACGATGATTTGCTGCGTTTTGCGGTATACATAAGTTACAATTTAATATGTTGCGTTTACGTTTAACTTAAATATTATTAATCACATGCAATAGTTAAATAATAATGATACAAATAATAATTATACATAGTTCAACCAGCGCGCCCGCATTATGCGATATAATATGCCAATTTCAAGTTTGCGACGGCAGTTGGCGGCGCTGCTCCTTTGTTAATTTGCTACTAACTAAATTTGTTGTTATCGGTCAACTGTTTGCTTTTTACACGTTACGGGCTAATCGTTACACTTTACGCACTAGCATATAATTACGATTTAATTAGTTAATTCTTTTATGTGTATATATATATAGACTTCATTCTTATCGCTGGCGTCGTACTCGTATTAATGCATATTTCATATTCATTTGTATATATATATTTTGTTTGTTTTTCGTTTTTGTTTTTATTTTCTGTTTTTAGAGTGTCGCCAGCGCTGCTCTCTGGATTTGATTCAGCAGCGCTCTGCCCCACTGTAAAGTATCCGTTAGATTGCAACAATAGTTTCGTTTGAAATTGCAGATTGCGAATTTGCGAAATGCAAATTGCGAACCGTGATTTGTGCGCTGAACTCTGAATTTCCTGCACTCTCTGTCTCAGAACTCCGAGTGCTCTGTAAACACTAATTAGCTGAATGCATTTCATGACATTTCCCCAAGGTCTTCGCTCTTTGTTCATATAATTTAAATAATGCTACATATAATATACGTATATATCAATAGATTTTCATCGTTTTTTTTTCTTTTTCTTTTTTTTTCATTTGCGTATAAAGCTGTAAGTCTTCTAGTTTTTCCGTAAAGTGCGTTTACTCAACTAAATTCCATTCGTATGCATTTCGCGTCGATTGCCCAATTGATCAATTTCTAAATTGTTCGCATTCGGTCAGTTCGAAAGGTGTAGACAACAATAATTTCGTTTAGGTTTACGTTTAACATTCACTGAGGCTACAGCTAACAGATTTATATCCTTTACGTATAATATTTGTGATCGGTCCAAGAACTAGCCATTGAAAGTGGTGCCACGCCTCTGGTTTCTCTTCTCTGTTTACTTGCCTAATTACACCGAAAAAGGAACAACTTGCTTTGAACATTGAGCTTTATGCACTGTAGGCTATATATATTAACATGTATCGTATCTGATATCTGAGAACAAACTGCACACACTCTGTGGAAAGTGGAAGGGGTTCTGCCTATTCTGTTTAATTTTCGTATGGTTTATATTTAGCAGTTACTCGATTCGTTTGCAAACCTCCAACGCGTTTATATGGCACACAGGTCTAGTTGGAGTCGGCATGGAAATTCGATGAGCTCTGAATTTGGAAAAGCTAGAAGGAGAGGTGCGCCCCGAGTTTCAAGTTTCGCTTCTGGTGCGTAGATTGTTAGTCGATTTCGATTGCTAGATGAATGCGCTTAGGGCCTAATAAATTACTTGTAACAACTTAAGAATTACACAAATAATAATAATAATAATGATAATAGTTATTAATTAATGATCTAACTCGATTCTTGTGCATTTGCCGTTGCTGTTGCTCTTGCTCCATTTTGTAGTGGCCTCATCTCTCCTCGCCTTCGTCCGCCTTCCAATGGGGCCCGTTGTGTGCTTGGGTTCGATCCCTCGGCTGGGGCAGCATCCTTAACTACAACTACTGAAGAGCATTGTGACTAGAGTGAGGAGCATCCACGTCGCGGTGGCTGCCAGGGGGTTGGACCCACTGGTCTTGCCGTTCTCGCGCGACTCCACTTCGTTGGTCGTGGTGCCTTCGGTGTCCTCGATGGGCGTGTGGGGTCCTGAAAAGTAAATAAGACATGTTTTAGTTGGTTTAAGTATAGAAAGATATGGAAATAAAATAAGAATCGCCATACAAATTATTTCCTTAAAGCTATTTGGTCTAAAGATTAATCTAATCTGTTATTCGGATGGTTAAAATTGTATTACTTTCAAATTAAAATCATTTAATCAATCTCGAATATTTTAAAAAGTTTAAATGAAATGCTTATAAATAAACTAATTAAATAAAAATAGATTTTATGTCTTGAAAATATTTAATAAATATTAAACCTTCTCTAAACTGGTAACTGTACATTTATGAGCTTTATAAATTAAAAACAGAATATGTAACTTTTTAAAATTTGGTGCTAGATTTTAGCTGAAGATTATAATCAACAGGACATTACCAAATTCAATTTAAATGGAATAAATAGTGGAATAAACTTACCATCGCCGGAACCATCTCCGGAACCATGTGCGCCTCCGTACTCCTCCTCGTCGTCGCCGATCTGGCCCTCTCCGCCGCCGGAGCCCTCGGCCATATCGTTCTGGATGTCGTGCGACGCCTGTATGCTGTTCGAAGGTGCCTGTGAAAAGAAAGTGGTTGAATTAACAACAGCCCAACCATCTCAAAGATAGTTCCATCCTACCGCAGCTCCAATGTTCTTGCGGATCTTGATGAGCTTGTCGACCAGCTCGTTCAGCTGGCTGTCCTGGGCCTTCGAATTGAAGGGCACCTCGGGATTATAGCGCTGTTGATCGGTTCCCGCGCTGATCAGCAGCTGGGTGTAGTCCCCGAAGCGATCGCCTGTCCAGCAGGAGTGATCCTCGCGAGAGCGCTGCTCATCACAGAAGCTAAAAAATATTGTAAACTTAGCTAGCCTGCTTTTCAACTCATAAGAAATTTCCTATTTCGTTTTAGAAGTCTCCCAAAACAACTTTTGTGTGTTAATTCCCTTGTATAATTATACCCAACAAAAAAGAAAAATAAACAAAATGTTTAAGGAGCTGGTATTGTGGATGCACCGTATGGCCCACGACTTTTGCTTGGCTCGTCCAGTGACTCCGCCACCTCGGCATGTAAGTTTTTGATTTATAGGTCCCAAATATTATTAATTTCTGGTATTCAATGGTTTTGAATAAACATAGAATATGCTTTGCAGTATTTTTGGCTCGCGATTCCATGAAAAATTCCAATATAAAACATTTCGACAATTTCCGTAGAATAATTATAATGAAACATTTAATTTTTTGAGCAAATCAATATGATACAGAGCTATTTTAGTAGAAATATGGATGACCTATAGAGGTTTCTCTTTATAAAATTGTAGTGTAAACATATAAAATTCAGCGAAATAGCTAAATTTGTATATTCCTAAAAACAAAAATATTTTTAGAATTTCCAAAAAATATTATTTCACCACTAAAATTTTAGAAATCTATTATTAATCACCACTTAATGAAACATCATTTAATTATATATTTTTTTCAGGGCTGTCGGCTGCCAGTGAAGAATAGATTCTTTGCCAATTTGATATTCTTTGTTGCCATTGTAACACCGCTGTACTTTTGCCTGCTGAAGGATGTGATCGCCATGATCGCTGGGCCCAAGAAGCGCTAGTTTCCTGACATTACCCCAATTATAATTTACAAGTCATAGTTTGGTCAGTCACTGTAGTTAGTTATCAATACATTTTGTGGCATCGTTCGAGTACTCACTTGTCCACGATGGTCGTGTAGAACTCCTTGCTCTTGTCGATGGTGGAGAGGAAGATGACCATGCCCGGATCCGGGTCGGTGGCCCACTTGATGTTCTTGTGAGACGGAGGCCGCGCATCCGGCTCTCCGGACGAATAGGGCGTCAAACTGGGCATGCCGCACGTCTTCTTTACCTGGAAAACGAAGGGGGAACATTGTAATCCATGCAGTGCTCCGGTTTAAAGGGGGTTGGGGCTGGAGTTCCACTTCCACTTGCTAATCGCCACCGCTCATGCAAGGCGCACGTGTTTCCCCCCACCTGACCCATCATTAAGCCGCCCAGGTGCTCATCGCCCTGCATGTAAATTGTAAATTTCTGGCGGAACAGAGACTCCACTAGACTCCCCTCTAATTTAGCATTTTAAATTCCCTGCAACATGCCAATCATGCAAAGGGTATCAATTGGATGTCGTGTGTACGTTTAACAAGACCTCGAAATGCCAAAGATATTTTATAGAGGCTGCTTCCACTGCAGAACGAGTTCGAAGGCCGGAACTGAATTCCGATTCATTAAATTCACTTAAAATGTTCATAAATTAACTGGCAATTAAACCATTAAGCGAGCGTGTCCTTGATACGCAAGTTAACGAAATCGATCGCATCTTCAGATTACAGAAAAAAGGAAGAGCTGTGTCCTCGAAAGATAAATATAACTAAACAGCATTTAATTTAATTGATTTTTAGTAAAATTCTTAAAACTGTCTTTTTGATAATATTAGAAACTAATTAATTTTTAAATACAACTTTAAATATTCTGTTCATGTTTTCTCTAGTTAATTTGTAGTCCCCTTGAACCATTTTATCACTCCACTTACCTTCTGTTCCAACTCAGGGCCATTGTGCATGGCAGCCATAATTGAATCGGAGAAATAGCTCTGCAGGTGCTTGATGACGTTGATGATGCCGCTGTCCGAGAGAATGTGGGTGGTGACCAGGTTGTTAAGCGCATCCACCACACTCGACCAAGGGCTGTCCAGCAGACCAGCAAGCTCCGCCGAGCAGCCACTGAAGATCATAAAAGAAGTACATAAAGTACAAAGTTAATAAGGTTACTAAAATACCACCTTATATCTCATTGAAACAATTTACTTGTTAAATATTTTAAATAAATATTATAGAAGATAAAAATCGTTCTATGGGTTTTTAATTTACTATTATACAATTAAAAATAAAAATACATTTTTAAAATTTTAAAACCAACTCCTAATACCCCTTCCCCACTTACCGCATCACGTTTTTGCAGTAGCCGTCGCACAGTATCGTTTCGCTCCTCGAATCGTGGCCGCTGCAGTGGGGGCAATAGTGCATCTTGAGGAGCTGCACCTTGCACGTCTCGGTCAACTGCTTGCCATAGAGCTCATCGGCCTCACTGAGAACCTCGGCGGCCTGGAGCAGGGCGTTCATGAAGACATTGGACATGTAGACACTCCTGCCCAGGGTGACCTGCAGCTGGCGCGGAATGTCCCCGAAGGGATGCAGCTCGTCAAAGTTGTGCTGCAGACAGCTGACATAGTCCTCGTGCAGATCACCGAACTTCTCCTTGGACAGATGCACCACTTGGTGGTAGGCAACCGGGAAGAGCTGGACGAAGAAGCTCCGCACAGCCTCCTCCAAGTTGCTCTGAACACTTGCCAATCCTCGCCTGCTTAGCTGTCCATTGCTGTTCGTGTAGTTCGAGGCGTAATTTAAATGACTGAAGGAGAAAAAACTCGGTTAGATTTCAATTAATTAAATTTATAAGTTTAGTTTTCCCCCACTTACTTCATGATTTCGTTGTACAACTGATGGATCATCATCCGCGAGGTGGGCACCATACGGGTGTAGACCTTTGCGAACAGCGAGTGGGTCATGTTCTCCGAAATGTGGGCCAATTCCAGGACGTGACCTGCCGCAAGAAAAAAAGAAATGAAATGGCATCCATGAAAGTATTGTTATGGTTATTGTTATTCCTAGCGAAATTTAATCACTTTGCCGCCAAAGTTTTCCCCTGCTGGGATTTTTGCTGGTAACTTTCGCCCTAATGGACTGGCTGGGATTTCCGCCCACTTGGAAAAAATAATTGTTGCCATTGCTCTTTATCTCTGTGTAGGGGTAAGCTTTTAGTTAATGAAATACAATTTAATATGACTGTTGGCATTGCCTGGCCAAGTGAAATATGAATAAACTTGGTGGAAATAAAAGTTGCAATTTACTAGGTTTGGGTTAAGGGGTAAAAAAGAGAGATATTTATATTAGTTACTCGTAGAGGGAAAGGGTTTAGTGTACGCCTATTGTGGAGCTTATTGAAGTGTAGAAGAACATTTTAAAATCGATTCTGTTTACTTTCTGCTTCCATATTTCTAGCATATATCTATTAAATCTTATCCCAGCCTTTAATGGCCAGCTATCGAATACTATCTATAATCTGTCAATCATTTCGCAAATCACGCGGTTCAGGTTGATAAATTCGCTTAATATTCAGACACTAATCACACAGCTGAGCGTAAGAAAAACCAAATGCGACACAATGTTATCTGTCAAGGTGTCAGCGGCAGTTGTGCGAATTGATTTGGATACACAGATTGGCTATCGATACAAAGAGATACAATAAACACACTCCTCTGGCAGCCTGTCATTAGTGCAGATTACAAATGGCCAAGGCCAGATAGCCATGGCTATATAGTATATTCGGATATACATACAATCGAGGGAAACTGTCAAATCGGCGTGTGATTTCTGACACACAAACAACACGCCTCCTTTCGGCCCCTGACAAATTCTAAATTGCAATACGCTGTCTTGTATATCGTTTTCAAACGAAAGTGTCAATCTTTCTGTTAATTGGCAACAAAAGAACGGAGAGCGAAGAACAACAAAATACACACATTTCCAGATTTGTTCTTTATTTTTTCTGTATGTTGCGGCTCATTTTGATTTTGATGTTGGAGCATTTCCGTTCTCAGCGTTTGAATAAGTCTTTGTGTCTGCTTGTTTTTGGGCTTGGCTCGGAGCGGTGTCGATGTGTCAGGGTCTGAAGTTTGGGGTCTGCACTCCGTTTGGGGTCCGCTTTATCGGCTAATGGCCTTTGATGCGTCATCCGTGGCGAGCAGAGTTTACCCTTTTTAATTAGCAAAACTTACGAGCTGGGGTTCCAATATTTGGGTAGGCAAATCGTTGAGAAGGGGATACAGAATGCCCATCAATTCGGTAGGGTCTCGGATCAAAATAGCTTTTAAGTGTGACAGATTAAGGGAAGATTCCCGAAAATCTAATAAAAATTTTTAGCCATCTCAAACGATGGTTAAATGGTTTTTACACTTAATAATTTTAGATCTATAATATTTTTATTTGTGTTTTCTGGATTTTTGAATACTAATTTCCTGGGTTGTGATTATTATAGTTATCTATTAATTTTTTTGGATTGTTTATTTATAATAAAAAAATTGTTTATAGATAAGTGATTAATTGTTTTGAATTGTTTTTACTTAATAAAAAAATTGTTTATAGCTACATAAGTGATTAGTTTTATCATTAATCCTATTTGTTTATTGTTTTAATTTGCATCCCTACATTTAATAGTTTTTTAAATGAAAACCCAAATAAATTAATAAAGACAAATAAGAGTTAATATAATATTTTGGCAGTGGTTTAAGAGAGGAGCAATTGGTGAACCTGCTAATCGCTCGACAGTGGATGGCAATTGCGCAGGATGCGATAAAACAATGCCAGCCAATTAATTTAACGCGTTTGCGATACAAAGAAGCAATAAGAACGTCGGAATCCAGATACTTGATACCCAATGCCCCATAGGTAGTGAAGGAGATTCAAGGGGGGAACTCGCACATCCTGTCGCTAATCTCATTGACGTGGCATAGTTAAAATGGAGCGTCGACTGGCGGAAACATTTAATTATTAACACGCCGCGTCGAACGTGTTGATGCGCTGGGATAAATAGAGAGATATATGGCGGTATATATTCTCACACTGTGCGACACCGGGAACTGGGCTGATCGATTGGCTCATTAAATCGGCGCGAGAAGGCGCTCAAAGTAAACCATTAGATGCCGGGAGAGGAAGTGCGGATGCAGACGACAATTACATGACTGACATGCCTAAAATGGCTTCCATTGCGGGTAAATATTCACATCCCCAGCAGCCGAGGCAATTTCCCCCATCCGGATTCCCAGACTCCTTTCGAGGGATACTTTTCGGCTAGATGCGGTAGCATTTCCCTCGATCCTATGCCTAATTGCAATTTTAATGAACTGAACAGAGAGGCATTGTCAGTGGGGAATTGCTGAGAGCAGCCAACGCTGCGTATGCTCGATATGCATATTATTGCAGCTGCCTTTGTTGGCTTAATACGCTCAATTAAGTTTCGGGGCCCACACACTCGAACACACTCAGCCGCCTCAGGTGGCATGCATTTGTATCTTTGTATCTCATAAATTGTTAACTCAGCACTTCACCTGCGGGCTCACACAAAACTACAAATGCAATTTGCTGGACGTTTGCGTTGGGTCCTCGGATTGTTGGATTGTTGGATCGTTGGGTTGTGCAACTAATTGCAATTTCTGTCCAGCTCTATCTCAAATCTCCATCTTGCCCTCTTCCTTTCGACCACCTTTGACAATTAACCAAGGGCATTTTTACTGTGGCCAGGAATATAGCCAACCGTATATATGTAGTTCGTATCTATGCTCGACCAGCAATCAAATATAAAGCAGGCCAAATGGCTTTCCCAATGAAACATGAAAATTTCATTAAGCTGGTGCTTTTTTCTCTTACTTTTTTTTAAGACCTTCCGGGTGGGAGAAAAACGGCAAAGGGATCCACGCTCGTCACACATGGAAAATCGCACTAATGGGCAAACAGACAATGAAATTGAATTAGACAACAAAGTGCGGCCAGTGTAGTTGGCGGAGGAAGGACGAAGGGGCAAGGAGCTCTTTTCACTCCCATCGCAAGCCGAAAACCAAGCCCATGACCAGACACTAAAAATCCATTCATATAAATGGTAAGTTTCGTCGTTACACGGTGGAAAAGTAAAAAAAAATTAAATATATTAAAATATTAAAATAATACTAAGGCTAAAATAATACACATATAGAGGAGCTACAATTTTTATCAGTTTTCAAAAGGGTTACTAAATATTTTTCAGAAATGTGAGAAGAATAGAAACAATTAACACCGTTTCAAAATACTTTTTTAAAAATTTGTATCATAAATTCTTTTTTTTTTGTTTAGGAACCTGTTTTATATAGATGAACATTTATTTTTAGTCCTATTAATTTTTAGCTCTGTATTTCTTAGCTATTCGCATAGAGCAAATATCGGAAAAGGCTTTGACTGGCTCTTTGGCTTCATTGCTTCATTAGAAGTCGGCGGTTGGCAGGCAGGAGCGAGATTAGCATGCCAAGTTTAAAGGCTGCGACCGGTTTGGGATTTGGTTTCGCATTCGGATGGGGATTCGTGGCCCGGGGCAAGCCCCAAAACGGTGCGAGAGGCGGCGAGGGCGGTGGAGGAGGCGGGGGGCAGTGGCAGATGCGACCGCGGTCCACAGGCGGTGTTGTTGTTTCCCACGGCTTGGCAAACTGGGCAAAAATATGCAGCACACACACTCACCGAAGGCGAGCACAGCCCACAGGTTTAGTTTTATTTTGCCCGCTTTTTCCCTGCCGCTTTGTATTTTTATATATATTCTTCCCTTTTTTATTTGTATTTTGCTTCTTTTTTTATGCTGTTTGTGAACGAAGTTCTTTGCTCCTCGGGGCACCGGGAACATTGCTGTTTGTTTGTATTTTGTTTGTTGCCTGCGTTCCTGTGCGGATATTACAATTTTAGTATCTGCCGCATTTTTTATTTGCATTTTATATGCATGTATTTGCCCACTATCCCAACTGCGGTATCCGTTGCCGCCTTATGAATGCCACAGCAACTTTGTTAGTGCTCTTCATTTCTTCCTCCGCTTCTTTCCTTTTTTTTTGCTCTTTGCCGTTCGGCGGGCTTAGCTTTTTAGCCGCGTTTAGCTGGGTTCTGAACTGTTGCAACTTTTTTCCCGGCCCTGAAGTCGCCTTCTTCGTCGTCTGTCCGTCTGGCGGGAGCAGTTCTCTTGGCTTGGTGACCACCGGCCAAGAGTTATATTTTTTCTCTCAATAGTGATTGAAAATATTAAAACCAAATAACCGCTTAAGCATCTTATGTTTATTTATTCAATTTTTTAGAAACAATTTTTTGTTCAATACTTTAGTATTCCTAATCTTAATTTTTAACCAAAAAATATCTGTATTTTGTCCGAAACAATAAAACAAATTGTCCAGATTTGGAAATTTATATCCTGTGGACTTCGTATTTAAATTCCACATCGATTTGCGTTCGAATCTAGTAACTTTAATTTTAGACTAATTTTTTGAAAAAACATGAAGAAACCCCTTATAAAATATGCAAAAATATATCAAAATATAAATTTTTTTTAATCTACCCAAAAAAGACGGGGATCGTTAGCTTAGATTGTTAGCTTCTAAAAACAGTAATTCTTTTAGCTAAGTGACTCTATTTATCCAAATTACGACAAAAAACACCAAGAAAAGTTATGGTACTTGCATTAATTTCTCATCATTAATTTTCAACTCAAAAATCGTTATTTAACCCCCTAGAAAAATCCAGATCAAATCATCTTTGACAGTTATAATCGTCTGAAAGCATGTTTCCCTCTCCCAAGAACCTACATATAATTTTCACGAGATTCGCTTACCTCCTTGAGCACTCTCCGCTCCACTGCAGCATCTGGTGACCCAACCCAACCCAACGCAATCCAATCCAATGCAACCCACTGTGCGTGGCAGGCAGCTTAAGTGCATGTATTGTAACTAGCTATCTGGATGCCAAGTTGGCACGCCCCTTCGGCAGAGTACCCGACCATCCATCCTTCCATCCTCAACCAGCCAGCAATTCAGCCATCCGGCCATCCAACCAACCATCTAGCTATCCAACTCGCCACTCCAACAGCTGTGAGCCCTGCGGCAATCTGCTCTTGGCAGGCAGACTCATCTTATCCTAACCCCATAGCATACCCATACCTTAACCCATACCCATAGCATCCGATCCAGAGGAGCCTCGACTGGAGCCCCTACACAATGTCAAAGTAATTGGATGACTTTTCATTGTTGGAGCCGGGCATTAAGGGGCGGGGGAGTGGAGTTCCCCGACTTGAGGTCGACCTTTTTCGGCTTAGCTCCGCTCTGACATATTGAAGTGCTTCAAAGCATATGCATCAATTGGCCGGAGCATGGGAGTTATTTGATCTGGCATGTTTCTCCGAGACTCCGAGTTGCAGTCCCATCCCAAAACTGGCTGTATTAAGTTGCCTTCCGTTTTTGGTGGCGCGTTAATTACAAGCGCGAGCTTTCAGCGTTTAATTTGCCAAGCAACTAATTATGGCAATTATATATGCACACAAATGGCGATATTCGAACGCGAGTGGTAGACAAAATGGCATCGGCTGTGTTTGTTTTTAAGACTCTGTTAATTAATGAAACGAGTGGAAATCAAAGTTTAATGACGGCTCCATTAGTAATTCGGCATTTGCTTTGTCAAGCACGCAAAAAATTATAGATCTTCCAAGATCTTCGGAGATCTTTCAACTAGAATGACAACTGGTTTTAGTCGGGGGCGTTTTTTTCAGCCGCACGATCTGCAGGTGTTCGCTGGCTCTGAACTTCAGTTTCCTGTCGATTTCATTGAGAAATCGAAGCTGGAGTCTGAAGGTCGCCTCTACAAAATGAAGCAAAAAATTGAATCGTAAACATGAGAGGAAAAAGAGCGGTTGTGAACGAGTTTGGACTAAAAATAAAACTTCAGAGCTGAGATGATTTATTTAAAGAGGTTTTAGCTAAGACTGAGCTTAATTTTATTTGGTCAAAAGAGAACAAAAAATTAATAGATAAATATTTAAACATTTAAGGCATCCTATTTTTGTGCCACCAAATCCGAAATGGTTCTCAATACGTCAAGAAAAGTGCAGCTCTTAACTGGGGATTGCCAACTGTGCCGCCTCAATCATACTAAAACCTAATGACAACAACAGGAAACTTTGGACCTGCCACTGCAACAACTTGGGGCAGCAACCACCCCCTTTCCCCTCCGCACAGCCTGCACATTTTGTGTGACAAGGCAAACAAAAGCCGGCTAACAAGCGATGGCGGCCAAAAAACCACTTTAGCCGTAAAGACAAGAAGGCAGCTCGGGCAAAGCACAAGATATGGCCGAAAAGACTTAAGCCTGGCCCGAGTTAAAAATGCGAGGGGAAGAGGAAAGGGGCGAAAGTTGCAAGTCGCTAGTTGCAACTTATGAAAGTGCACGCATTGCTGCTGCAGCTGCCGTGGCTGCCACAAAAATAAAGAAATAATTTCTGCAGTTCCCATTTCTTTTTTTTTGCTGTTTTTGTGTTTCTGTTTGTTTTTGTTTAGTTTAAAGGGGCAAAAGTTGTGCTGGCAGAGCAGTAAGTCAGCATTTGGAACTTTTATGCAGGCGCACGCCCCTGCACACAGCAGGGGTGGGGTGCAAAAAGGGGGTTAGGGGGGCAGGTAAGAAGAGGGGGTGGAGATATTTTGCAGCCAAACGCATTAAGCGCGTGAGCAACACACCAAGACGACAATGACAGTAAACAGAGCGAAAAAAAAATATTTAATTGCAAAATTAAAAAAAAATAGTTAGATAATAAGATAATTATTCTATTAAACTTCTTAAATTTAATTCAATTAAAATACTTGAAAACTATTAATAAACAAAACAAAGAAAATCATGAGTGAATAAAGATATACTTCTAAAGTTCAAATAAACACTTAATTTAATCATTCAAAAATACTGATAATTGAAATAATAAGGTTACTATCGATTGACATAATTAAATGTTGATGTCATCTCATAAACATCATTATAACTTTGGTAATATTTTTTTCCAGTGATGATGGTACCACGAAAGTAGCAGTAATGATAAAGATGATGATGATGGTGGTGACGACGGCTACGTGGTAAATGCAATGGCAACGCATCGCATTGGGGATCGGGGAGATATGGGGAATCTGGGGATCTGCGGATTGGGGTTATTTGGAAGCCCGGGCCCATATAATTCTTAAGCTGCGAAACGTGTTTAAACACGCAAATACTTGCTTAAAAATAATTCCCCAAACAAAGCAGGCCAGCACAAAGGCAGCCAAGTTAAAGCGAGAGGGCAGGAGTCGCCACAATGGGCGCGGAAACGGAAGGGGCGTGGCACTTGGGGGCGGATGAGCTGCAACCGGAAGGGGCGAATAGGGAGAGGGGCCATTTTTCGAACAGGAAGGAAGCCCCGGCTTGTATTGCATATGCCACAAGCTGTTGTAGTTGGCAAGTTTATGGTACAAAATAGAAATATGCATTTATTTCGCATACCATAATATTTTATGCGTTAGGAGAGCAGGAGAAAGAGAGCAATAACACCAACGATTGCCAAGAAATGCATAAAGTTTTATAGTTGCGCATTTTTCGGGAGTCTGGGGTGCTGTTTTCCCCATTCCCAAAGGAGAACATCACGCATACGCCGGGTGTTCTCGGAGCAAGTAAATCAATTTTTATGGCCACTCTGCTGCAACTAAGGGAAACGCGTGCCATCGCAACGACTCGCCGATAAGCACAAGAGTACGTCGTTTGGGCCAGAAGTTTTTGGCCAACAAGAAACCCGTTATCAGCGGCAGACAAGCAAATGTATTCAGCTACCCATTAACCGTCAGTCAGCCCAATATTTACACAGAATATATACATAAGTTGAATCAATTAGCCAACTGTTTCATAAATCTTACCCAGCATTAGCTGCACCCCATTCATCCATCAATCGATCGTATAGTATTTCATTCGGCTCATAAAAGCAAATAAATTGCTCTCGCAATTGGTTTTAAATAATTATAATTTGTTATATTGCCCGATTGTTAGTCTAAATGACTTTGCCGATTGCATTTTAATTTTTTTGCTAGCTTTGTTTATCTAATAAAACGTGCGACTGTTCAGTGTTTGCCTTCTGTGTGACATCATTGTGTGCTGAATTCTACAATGCAAATTGAATGCTAATTGTTTGAGGAATACTCTGCATTTCGAGTATATTCGAAATTATTGTGCCCCTGGGGTTTTATTTGTTATCGCTTTGCAGACGATAACAATTTAATGGCCAGTAAAATTTTTGAGAATTAATTAAATTCTGTGATTTTGTCGTCCATTAACAAATTGATCAATTTAATACCCAAGTAGCGTTTACTCATACCCAAAGTCTTTAATGAATATTGTGTTCTTTGCAGTCATTTAGCCAAAAGGAAGCCTCAAAACTTAATGAGCCCCCATCCGAATGAATCAATGGGTTTCGCATAAATTAAGCTGATGACAACACACAAAATGCAAACAAATTCGCCAAATGTATTTATATAAATTGCGGATCCGCTCGAACATGCAGTATATACCCGAATATGTGTGGGCATTTCATTTCTGTATACAACGAGGAGGGCGTGTTTAAAGTCTCTTCGAATGCGCGCCCATTTCCAAGAATTGCAGACTCAGAGGCCGGCGAGAACAACAATGAACAACGGCAGCAGCAGCAGCAGCAACATCACAGCGGCAACAGCAACATCGCAACGGCACCGGCAGCACCCCGAAAATTGTGCCTTAAAGTGAAGCGAGATTTACAGCATGTACGACAACAATTTGCTGGCATTGTGTGAAAAGGGGCAGCCCCCAAGGGGAGGATGGAAGGGGGGTCCCAGGGGCGTGGCAGCCCCAAAACGTGACCCAGACAAAGTTTGCGAAATTGTCTAAAAAGGGACAGCGGTCACGCCAGCAACAACAACAACTGCAGAGAGCAGAAAGCAGGGACTACAATATTATTTAATGCCTTTTTAATTAGATGCAGTCAGAGTCGCGTTCGCTGCATTTTAAAACAGTCCCGGCTCGGTTATGGTTATGAATCCTTATATACAATATACCCGCCCGAGGTAGAGATATTTTTTTATTTCAGGGTTTATTATACAGTCGCTTTGATCTGCATACAAATTCAAATTACAAATCAATTTCGCATTTCGCGTTTCAAGTTTAATTTGGTTAGCTCACTTCGCAGATTGCGAGCCCAACTTTTTATCGTCATAATTCTGCGCCGAGCCAGATGAATTTGCATATGATAAATTATTTATTGCCACGAGGCGAATGAAAAACTTTTCAGACTCTTTGGCCAGAGATTTGCATAGAAAGGCATTTTGCCTGCTTTCGATTTCACTTTAGCCCCCGGCTCAGTCCCCACTAATCCTTTCTGCTTTCTGGCCGCCTCCCTTACAAAGATCTACTCATCGTACTCACTCTGGAATTGTTTGGCATTCTTCTCGAGGATTCCGCGCAGGCTGCTGGTATGGTGATGCAGGAGAAGCTCGAATTTTCCGGCGGCTTTGTCACGCAGCTCCAGCTCCGTGGCATTATTGCAGCAGTTGCCGCCGCAAATGGCGCCTGGAAAATTAAAAATAAGAGGGGGATGAGTAGAGATTAGCAACTTAGATTAGGTACCTTAGGAATCAAAGAAAATAATGAGTATATTACGGAGTTTATGTCTGGAAAATAAGTATAGTTTCCATAAAACTTCTTTACCCGCTTTAAATAATAGAAATAAACTCTAAATCATTTCTATATATCTTGCTGTGAAGTAACAAGACCCTTTTATCCATTCATTCCTGTAAAATCAGGGAAATTAATGATGATTTAACGTTTCAATATAACTTTTTTACCGCTTTTGAATAATATAAATAATCATAAAATCATTTTTATATCTTGTTGGTGAGTAATAAGACCCGTTTATCCATTACCTTAAAAATGAGAGAATTTATTGAACTTCTGTACCCCTTCAAATATCAAAAATTATCATTAAATCATTTCTTTATCTTGCTGTTAAGTAATAATACTCCTTTACGCGCTTTAAAATTCAGAAATAAAAATAAAACAAAATTCTATATCTTGCTGTGAAGTAATTTCCATCATCCCAGCTCATCTTCCGTTGCATCATTATGAAACGCCTGCTGCGCCTATATCATTTTCGAATTATCGCACAAATCAAATATTTACTCATGGCTTTGTGGCTGTGTGTGTGGGCGAGTGGGTTGTCTCGTTTAATTGTTTATGGCTTTAAAATGGCAGTGGGCGTGTTGGCCAGCTCGGCTGCAGCAACAATAAAGTGGCCGATAGTTTCCGATTCACGGCGTGGGCTCAGCCGTTTACAATTTACAATATATAAATGCACAGGCCAGAAGTAGGAACCGAGTTGGCCAGCCTGTTTCATCACTGGCGGTCGCGTTAATAACTTTTAAATTGCTCATAATTGCAATTATTTTTCTTTTTAGTTGGCTAAACGACACAATCGGAGCAGTTTGGCCCATAAAACTCGCAGCGGGCAATGATTGTTTTTTCAGCTGCCACTGAAATACGAGCTTATTCCACTAATGACAATGGATAATGGATAAGCGAGGAAAGAAAAGTGGGCTAAAACGATTTTCAACTTACTAATCGTTGTGCCCCAGAAAAAAAGAGAGTCTAATGAAAGAAATGGGGAAACAAAAACCAAGACAGGACAAAAAGACTGCTGATTGCAAGGGCTTATTGAAAGGGAATTGTCTGCCTTTCCTTTCCGTATCTCCAAGATACTTTTCCATTCTGATCTACGAAATGCAACACACTCATAAGTGTTAATGAGGGGGGAATTCCCCGCACTGCTGGTGCCATAAATTAGTAGAGAAACAAATCGTGTGACAGGCTTTTTATGACAACTGCAATGACAACAGCAGATACGAATTTTATGGACGTCTGCCCCTCCGTCTTTGTCGTTTATAATTTAAATTAATGGCTTTTACACGATGTTCGAAGCGCCTACAATCTCTCATATGCATATCGGCTGAGTGCCCCGATTCGGTGGCCATATGTTGCTGTCGTAAAATTAGCAAACGAAATGAATGAATTCCACAAAAGCTGAAAATGCAAATGCAGATGCAGTCAGCGTCTATTTTGGGTTAACTAATGGCAGGCATCAATAGTTGCAGTTAACCGCCGGGGCCATGACACATTTTTCCGTTCGGCCTGGAAAATGAAATGGAAAACGACAGTAGACAACAGACAAGTTGGCTCAAAGCCATCGCCCCAAGTGATATCAATATCCCCTTCATTCAGTCGAATTGACCTGCTGCCAGTCAGTCAATCAAAACCCGACAGAGACGAAAGCCAAACAGATTTTAGTTATGTGCCATCGATTTGCGAGCTGTTTGGGCTCCTCGAGTGGCCGAAAAGGATTTGCCTCGCCTCGCAAGATCCCTGCGCTTGCATTGTATAAGCCATCGATTGGGGGCTCCTTTTGGCCATGATGTGTTTATGCGTTCTTGCAACTGCTCGGCCATAAATCGGTCCAAGAGCAGAGGGTAGCCGCATGGCAGTTGGCCAGAAGCCCGGGCGTCACTCAGCCAGCGAGTCAGTCTGTCTAGGGGGAAAACAAAAAATATACAGGAAAAGCGAGGGCAAAACGAAGGAAAAGTGAAAAACGGAAGACCGGGCAAGTTAAACCTGCCCCTCCGACAATGCTGGAATTCTTCGCTTTCGAGCGTTCCGCCTTCAACTCTTTTTTCTGTGGCTCAAGAGCTCAAAACTCGAGCAGCAGAAATTCAATTCAATTGCTGCAACGTGCCGGCATACAGATGCACACTAGCACACCAACAGGACCTGCATGCATGCATACATATATCATGTCGTGGCCCAGAAAAGTATGCTATGGCAAACGGTTTCTGGCAACGGACGGCCAAATTGCAAAGGATCGTGAAGGGAGGCCCAAAGTGGAGAACTGGGAAGCTCCGAGAATAGAGAGATGAATCAGCACTAAGAGAAAAAGTACAGCACTAGAAATAAAACTATAAAATTATCGATATTTTCGATATTTTCACAATATTGATTCGATAATATCAATTTGGAAACACATATTAAATATCGAGAAATAGTAAACTGCCGATATTTTTTCATAATCAAATTTGAAAGGGTAAAATAAATAGATTATAGCTTATTTAGAATATTAAAAAATATATAGTAAATAACTTTAATAAATTATTTGACATAAACGAATTTCACATATTTGATACTTTTTCTCCTTGTGCTATTGTTAGTTATTTTTGGCCGTGCTTCAAAGGGAAATGGAAGGGGTGTAAAAAATGCAAATCTCATGCATGGCCAGAAAATGCTCTGCCAAAAATACCAAGGAACGGCCCTGACCGCAAAAAAGGCGGGGGGAGTGGCAAGTGAGGGGGTACCAGTGGCCCCATTACGCCTCCCCCTCTCCACCTCCCCATCTCCGCCCCTGTGCTACTGTCTCTCTATATTTTCAGGCCTTGTTTTCCAGCCTGTCACCGCAAATGCAACTGACGACGTGTGCGAATTTGTTTACTGTAATTGTCTTCACTGTAAAAAGGGGGAAGGGGGTGGGGGAGTGCGGGTGGATTGCACACACGAACACTCTGCCACACGCACTCACACACCTACATACATATTTAAACCATATATATCCATTGAGATAGGCTCTGGCTCTGTGGTTACTTGTCTTTTGGCATTAGCCAAGTTGGCTGGCTGCCAAGAAAGCGCTTAGCCCGCAAAACACTTGGCTCTGGGAGTGGATTTTGCATACCTTGACATATTTCGAGTGTCCTTACTCCACCGCCCCCTCTCCCTCCCTCTCCCCCTATCCCCACTGCAATTCCCACAGAGGCATTTCCCTGTGGCATATGCTACTTGTATGCGTTTTCAATTTGCACAATTTACTGTAAACGTGTTGATAATAATGAAGCCGAGAGCCAGGAAAATTTCGTACCCGTACCTACCAGTGCTGCCATCACTCAGCTTGAAAAACCGGACAGAAAAGTAAAAAAAACAGGGAAAAAGAGGACAAAAAAAATTTAAAAAAGGACAAAAAAAAGGACAAAAGTAAATGCGCCTACATTTTTCTGTATTTACCAAAGGGAGATATATTTACTTAATATAAATGGATTTTATATTAAATTCAATTATGTAATGATCTATTGCGCCTGACTCACAACCTTCTTCGTTTGATCATTTTACCATGGTCAATTTTTGTGCGTATACGTAATAATCTAAAATTATTAAAATAATAAAAGCATTTCAAGTAACTATATTGGTAATACAAAAAAATGCAATATCTGCGTCAAACCCGAATAAGAGTCGTTCAAATATGAAATTTTTTTCTGACAAAAAGGCTGAGAGTAAAAATTGAGAACTTTTTAAAGTGTTTTCCTCTTTTTTTTGCTACAGAAAAAATCGTACTATAAAGAAAGTCCATCGACTGCATTACATCTCTTTGATAATTTGTAAAAAGAATTATTTTTAAAGTGCCGAACTATAAGAATAATGGTTAAAACGGCGTTTTAGCATATAAAAGCAGGTTTATACACTTTCGACTAGCAAAAATAACACTCAAAACCTTATCTTTAAAAAAAGGACAGATTTCCGGATAGGGGATGTTTGAATTTTTTTCCGGATAAAGTCGTTAAAAAAGGGACAGATCTGTCCGGAAAGAGGACAAAATGGCAGCACTGGTACCTACCCGTCAAAATGTCTGAAAGTTGGCCCTGTAATGCTGCTGTAATTAAAACAGATCCCTGCAATGTCTGCCGAAATATTTTGACAGGCATTGTTTAAAAAATAATTTAATTACAAAGTGAATAGGAGTACTTAGAAGTAGAGGCCACGCAGGAGTCTGCTTTAGAAAAAAAGACATTTAGTTTAAATTCCAAAAAAATATATACAAAATAAAAACAACCTAAAATTTATATGAAAACTATACAAATATTAAAATTTTTAGTTATGAACGTTATATATATGTTACTATCTAAGATTGTTATGAAGACAAAAACACAACGCCTTAAACTTTTCCCCTTTAGTATAAAATATGAATTCGACGGAAATCAGCTCAAATATTTACCTAATGATTTTATATACAATCCCCCGAAAATTGTATATATATTTTGGGTATAATTTACGGCCTTGATTGAAAATCAATTTAATTTCCCCCCACAACACGGCGATCAGGTCGCAACAAATAGTCCAAACGATTGCCTAAAGCCATAAATTCTCTAATAAATTTATGAACGTGCAACGACTGCAGTGCAAACCAAATAAAAACATCCGTCGCGGTCGCCAGGGGCTTCCTATCACCGCAGCAAAGGGGGTGGTGTTAAGTGGAGAGTGGGGGCTGGGCCTGCATGTCACACATAATAATTTCAGTTCTTTTTTTTTATCAAAATTGTTGACAACTACTTGTCAAACACGAACAATTTGTGCAGCGGCGGCAGCAGTCAGAGGGCGATAACAATTAAGTCAACAAACGGTGGGGGTTCAGGGGTTAGGGAACCCCATATCAAAGTGCCTGGCCTGTTGTTCATTTTATGGTTCGTTGCTTTCTGTTTGCTGTTATG